ATTTGTAAATACAGTGTCATAATTCTGACATATCAGTACTCGAAGTCAGCTGCCTGCCATTTTATAGCAGACTGCTTTATTTATGTTGACGCACATGCTGTTTGGATCAGTAAGCGGTCACACAATAGACATAAGATTGCACAGTAAATGTTGGACCTGGTTTATGAGGTCAGGAAAACAAATGTTCAGCTAAATTACTGACACATGCCTGACAGTATAGCAAGACAAGATTGTGCAGCTAAATTACTGACACACGCCAGACAGTATAGCAAGACAAGATTGTGCATCTAAATTACTGACACACGCCAGACAGTATAGCAAGACAAGATTGTGCAGCTAAATTACTGACACATGCCTGACAGTATAGCAAGACAAGATTGTGCAGCTAAATTACTGACACGTGCTTTGAAGTTTAGCAAGAAAAGAATGTTCAACTAAATTACTGACACATGCTTGTGAAGTTTAGCAAGAAATGATTGTGCAGCTAAATTACTGACACATGCTTGGGAAGTTTAGCAAGAAAAGAAGGTGCAGCTGAATTACTGACACATGCTTGTGAAGTTTAGCAAGAAATGATTGTGCAGCTAAATTACTGACACATGCTTGTGAAGTTTAGCAAGAAAAAATTTTGCAGCTAAATTACTGACACGTGCTTGTGAAGTTTAGCAAGAAAAGAAGGTGCAGCTGAATTACTGACACATGCTTGTGAAGTTTAGCAAGAAATGAATGTGCAGCTAAATTACTGACACATGCTTGTGAAGTTTAGCAAGAAAAAATTTTGCAGCTAAATTACTGACACGTGCTTGTGAAGTTTAGCAAGAAAAGAAGGTGCAGCTGAATTACTGACACATGCTTGTGAAGTTTAGCAAGAAATGAATGTGCAGCTAAATTACTGACACATGCTTGTGAAGTTTAACAAGAAAAGAAGGTGACACTTGCCAGTGACACCATAGCACTTTCTAACTGCAGTTGCCACCTATTTGTTCTTCTAATGTATGCTAAAGGTTATTGCACTGGTAATCTTTCTTGTCTTTATTAGTGACCTCCCATCTGATGTTGTAACTATTCACTGATGCAGATTTTTCTGATTTACTTTAATGCCATGTATCTTTCTTGAAGACTGTCATAATTATATATTGTATAAATATATAGTAAATGCATCTGTAAAATTGTGTTATGTTCATTTTTTTCATCAGTAATGTAATCATCTGCTGTTGATGAAATATTCTCTTAATTCATAATTTCTTGTATGCTCATTGTGTAGAGTAAAATGGTCAGAAGCCAGTTTAACGATTTCTCAAGTGTAACTTCCTGTGAACTGAGGATGACAGTGGTTGTAGAGGCAAACTGACAGTAAAAGTAGCTAGCTCACTCCTGGTCCTTATTTAGTGCTTTATCTGCATTTGGTTTCATATGCTCAGGTCAGACCATCAGGTGGGTTGCCTATATGAACTCGTATAATAGCAGCAGGTCCTTCATTGTTCTCTTAGCTTGCTCTGCACACTGCTCTTGAGGAATTTTTTTTTTTTTTTATTAAGTTGTAGGTAGAATGGGTAGGTCTGCAGAATGTACTGAGGCGTTTGTGGTCGTGTCTGACAGGCACACTGTGGGGACTGTAAAATCTTTATTTTATGCATGTGGTAGTTGAGACTGCAGTGTCCTGTTCGTAGATGGACAATTGTTACAAACTATGGTAAATACAAATAGTTTGCCTTCCAGTGGCCACAGGAAGTAATCATCATTATAAGATTAGTGTCACTAGCAATGAACATGTTTTGTATTGGCAAGGGAGATATACAACAGAGCAGAGTTGATAAGCTAACACTCTGGTTAAGCTAGCTTCCATGTGTTTAACTTTATAACTTGATTTAATCTCCTAAACAAATTTATTCCTGATGTTGAGAACTTGATTGATAATTGAAGATTGTTGGTTAGATGAGCTACTGTAATCCCAAATTTTAGATGAAAAGAAAATGAGTATCCCACTTGTTGTTTTACCTTCGTGGTTAAGTTAGTATATTTGTCCATGTATAAAACAATTCCTATTGTTTAGCACACACAAAAGATATAAATATTTTAAACATTTCTTGCATAAAGTGACCCAATTTTAGGTTTAAAAAAATGGGGAAACATTACTTATACCCTATAAATATTGTATATAAGCTGTTACAAAAAAGAAGACCAGCAGAATAAAACGTTTCCAGTACTTACACAAGTGTGATCTAGCAACAGCAACAATGAGAAAAATAATAATTCTTCACATTCACCGGCAGAAAGTTCGCTGTCCACTTCTAGACTAGTAAAAACTTTATACACAAGGGATATGAATGGTCGTAGACCACGAGGCAGACCAAGAAGATGGAGAGGTAATGTCCAGACATAACTGCAAACACTCGGTGTCACCAACTGGAAAGAGAAAGCCAACCAGAGAGATGAATGGAGGCAGGTGATATCTGCAGCAATGAATCTCAAGAGCTCGGAAGGCTGAAGAAGACTTGGTTCTTTTCCGGAACTTGAAGTTTGCATGCAGGTCTGTCTACAGATATCACTTAGTGTATGCAGGCAGTCTACTTCTATAACATGCTTTTGAGGGACAGTGGGCCCCCTCAAATAAGGCCCAGGAACCCACATGGGAAGGACAGTCAAGCGATCTAAAACATGTTATGGCCTCCTTAAGTCAAAGTGAAGGACCATTGGGCGTATAGGGATAGAACTATATTTTTATAGACCAATCGGCACAAGATGGGTGATGCGGTCAGCATCACGCCAGCCGCCTCTACTTCCCGGTACCCACTCAAGGCTGGGTCAACATGGGAGCCACGGTCATTTTTTTTAAAAGTCCGGCTCTGCCAGGGAGCAAACCCACAACTTTCCGATCCACCGCGAGCGTCTAGCCGCTCCGCCACGGGGACTCCCATGGCCTCCTGAATTCAATAGAAATTTTTTTTAATGAAATTCATTTTTTGGTTGGTAGGAAAAAAATAAATTACGATTGGAATAATTTATAAAATGACATATAAGAGGAAAACAGAGTGGAAGTTTTGTTTTTGTGTCATGGGATGAAAGAGGGCAACACACAAATTGAGATACGCTGTTAATTGTAAAATGTGAAGAAACACATCAGTTGGCAAGATATAACTTAGTGACTCGTGTTTAGATTTATAAGTAAAGACCACAGTATTTGCCTTTAATAAGGATCAGTCTTGAAGATGAACATGTGGTAATGCAGGGATATCATGGCAGGAGTTGACTTAAAATCTGATGTGCTCAGTCCACATCTTCAGCAGCCAGCACAGATTTCCAGTTAATATAGTACTGTTCTTTCAATTTCCTCTAGGGTTAAGTTGAAAAGAACTGGGGACAGAGCATCATCTTGCTTCAAACCACGAAAATGGTGTGACTTTCTCGTACTCTATCATAAATGTCTTTCATACAGTTTGATCATGATGAACTTATTAAATAATTAATTTATTAATTGTGTCTATAGCATTTACATTCGAAAGCTGAATTCTCCTTTCCATAGTGAGTCCAATTCTCACATCCGTATAATAAAATACCTGTAATTTGTTTTATTGACATTAACTGCTGATTGTGCTCTTCCACATCTCATTCAGTTGGGACATCGAGGCTGTTGTTATATCAAGCCTGGTCTTCATCTCTTAAGTACAGCTGTCGTCGTTATATATGTTGTAACATAAATTTAAAGGTTTCAATTTTATCTCCCATCTGTATGCTGGTAGCTACTTGATTATTGTAGCTATTTACCAGAATCTTGCTTTTCTCTGCAAAAATTTCTATATTTGCCTCAGACTTGTCTAATTTTATAGTAAGCTCTGTTTTGGGACCAACCATGAGATCAATGTCTGCGAAACATTAACTCTGCCAATGGATCTACAATGTATATGTTTTTGATTTTCTAGTCTCTCTTTCTCATTGTTGTGTTCCAAGTACAAACTGAAAAAAACAAATGGAAAGTATGCAACCCTGTCTCGTTCCAACACTAGTTTTAAAAAAAAATGTGCCTGTCATTTTGATTGAGCACTGCACTATTTGCTTTATCTTTATAAAGTGCCTCAATGATGTTGAATTTCCTCAATGTGGGGTCATGTAAAATCTCCATTCATTTATGCACACAAACCTGAGCAGGGGGCACTCCCACTGCTTAAAAGAAATTGCCCTTTAGGATTCCTACATCTCTTCAGGATTCCATCTCTTTTATGATAACGATCCTTGCACAATGCCAGCAACAATTGGACAAGCTCCAGCTTGTGTATTCTTTCTTATGGTGGTCTGTCAGCATTTATGGGACCAAGGAAGCATACCAAATTCTTCAGTTTTCCAAAGCCAACATGCGCTGCCTATAAGGGACATCAGATGGATTTGACACTGCACAGGCATCAGCCCATGCAAATGCTGACAAAGATATGCTCTCTTTATCACAAGTTAAGTGTCCTTACATATCTAGTTGACCAAGCACAGACTTGTCTTTGATCTATACCACATAAAATCCCCAGGTTTTGCCAGCATATGAGGGACAAACACCAGACACGCACAAAAAGGAAAGAAAAATATCTGGTTCATACATAATTTATTTGTACTTCACTGAGATTAGTTTTTGTTTGTTTCATGAAATATAAGTATACACAATCATTTATAATCTGTAACGAATTTAAACCTTGTTCCACAAGTATATATGATGTCACCAAGAAAGTCACTATCATGCAAAACAACAAGTCGTCACTTACGCAGCTTCAGCAGTCCTAGCTCTATCAAATTTTGTCCCTAATCCCAATAATACCCTGCAGTTTCTAAACGGGAACAAGCCTCAATTATACAACATAAAATAAATCAGAGGGGCTAGGGGTTTTGATGACGTAGCAAATGCAATTATATAAACCAATAAAACATTCCCTGGTAGGCAAAGTGCCCATCAGCATGCGCTGGACTGGAGATGAGTTTGTTGGCCGTGACAAGAATGCAGCAGTGTCCGCTTGATCCAATCACTAAACGGATAGAAAACAAAACAAATAACTCTTCTGTAGTTTTATATTTAAAAAATAATTTAAGGCTTTAAATGTGAACAGCTGGGGGGGTGGGTTGCCGTCCGAAATTGTGAATTGTAATTTCAAGTTACCTGTGTCCTCTTTCAGCTGCTGGTGATTAAGCTTGTACTTAATTTTGACAATGGTAGCCCATGACTTGGAAAGCAATGGCAACTAATTAATATAGAAAATGTCCTACTTAAATAAATCAATCACTAAGCCGTGGCAACTGGAATGTTGGCACTGCCTGTCTGATTGCATTTAAAAACCCCGACTGACATAGACGATCATGCTTCTCCAGTAGTGACAGCATTTCAAGCCTTTACAAAAGACCCACTTTTTTCAACCAACAATCATTCCCTGTGGTTCTTTCTCATTTTTATTTTTGTATTTTTTTTTCCCAAACATGTATAAACAAAATTATCAATTGGTCATAAACAGAAACGGAGTAAGAGTAAATGGAATACATTCCCTGTGAACTTTACACATACACTGTGACCTCTATCACTGAGGCTTCAAGCAAAATTATAAACTGACATCGAATGAATCATCATTTTGTGCTCTGCCAACTGACCTTTTCCACTGATCTTTTCAGTTGTCACTATGTTCTCTCTTCTTATGTGGCAGAAATCTCAAAGGGCACCCAATTTAATTGTTGGGCAAATGGCAAAATACCCCCCCCCCCCAATAATATGGTCTCAATTTTATTTTTCTTAAAATATTGCATACATGGGAAACCAGCCAACCAGCACTCAATAATGTTCGGTGCTCCAGAACTTCGGGGAACTGCCTTCTTTCACAAAAAGTGTAGCTTTAATCACATACAAAATGAACAGGAGCGTAAGCACACTTACAACTTTCTCTTCCCTGACACTATCAGCAAAGAAGTACACATAAGGAATATCATCTGTCTCTCCTGCTGGGGTTTCCCATTTCACCATGGCAATGGTACCATCTGGGTTGCACGATTCTCCTGCAAAGTTATAAAGTCAATGCTTTAAGGCCCTGCTTGCATAATGCACAGCAATTTACAAACTATAATATAAACTATCATGTTGGAGAATTGAAAAAATTTGCAAGTGGACATTGGGGCTTCTGCGCCTGCATTATAAATTTAAACACAATATCAAAAGTTTACATGTGCAAGACAGTACCTCCTGTTTACCGGCTGTCAATTTCTGCAGAAGCTCCAGGTAGTTCATCCAACAGGCTTTTACCTGGACCTGGGTTTTACTAGTACAACTGTTCTACTGGCTTTTGTCGTTCCCTGCCTCACAGGGAAATATACTCCGACTTCGAGGGAGCAAGCCAGTGCCAATTTTTTCCTTTGTGGGTTTCAGGGCCCCACACTGCCACCCAAATGAGCATTTGTAAGAGTCGACTAACTGGAAGCTTTCTTTAAGTCAAGAGTGCATCTGCTCAAGTGACTAGGAACAGCTAGCTGCACACACGTAAGCCAGTAGAGCAGATGTACACGCAAAACTCATGCACTAGCAAAAAGCCACATCCAAATGGATGACCAGGACTTATGCGCTGGAGCCCACAGCTAGTGAACAAAGGAGAAAATATGTAAATGTACACTGCTACTAAGACAACAGTGTGACCGCCAAGAAACAAACAGCATATCTTACCAACACTGCTACCAGTGTCGAACATCAAAGACAATGCAAAATCAGCACGTGAAAAAGATATGCATAGGGCAAGCCACCTACTTCCACCTACTGCTTGGTGACTCGTGTTATCAGACACCTTTTACTTCAGTGCACCAGATGGTCTAAACAAAATGGTGCAGTTTTTTTTGGGGGGGGGGGGGGGGGGGGGGGGGGGGGGAACAGATAATTTGAGTGACCAAGACAGCATTTCGGCAGAAAAAGCGTCTGACATATGTTTAAAAAAAAAAAATCTGCGCAGTCTTCACTCCCATATTTACAGAATGTTAAATTAAGTTAAGAATCATCACAGCACTCAGGACACTCCCATAAGTGCTCCGTCCCCATCTTCAGCTGCAAGCGCAGAGTTAAAATTCTGATGGTACCAGGAACAGTCTGATTGTATTACTCCTCGCAGTGCCACTCTCCTCAGGCCATAATGATCTATCTGTTCCTCGGCACTGTTCAATCGCTCCCAAAGGGCCCTCACAACATCCAGCTTGTCATATATCAGTTCACCACCACATGGTGCAGAACCGGCCAGTCTATCCGCCTGCTCAGGCGTGACCTAGAGAAAATATCTAAAAGATGCTAACTACCCGGGACCTCTGAAGTGATGCTTGCCACTCTGCAAAGAGCAAGCCTGTCTCTACCTTTCTCAGCATGCTCTCTGTCAGTTACAATCATGACATGTGTGTACAGCTGATTCTCAAGCCAACGGAAGGCAGCAATGACTGCCTCCACCTCCAACTAGATATTGTGATATATGCCAGGATTTGTTGCGCCAAGCGACATCCATTTGCCTTGGTTATGAACCCCCATGCACTTCGTATGCCCCTCACCAGAGACACCTGTACATACAATCACATCACTTGGGCGGGATTGGCAAGAATATATTTACAGAATCCGGCTTTAACCTTCACAAAGCTCATCTTCTTCTGTGCTCAACTATGATTTTCCAACCTACTTTCTCACTAGGCTGATAATGATGATGATCAGTCCTTTCTATTTTCTCACATTGTTTGTATACTCAATGTTGATTCTGATAACAAATAACTGACTAAATACAGGAAAAACATACCAGTGTAGAATTCATACTGGTCAAAACTGGCTAGGACAGTCTTGAAAGTATTCTGGATCTCAGTTCGCCAGGCTGTCACATCAAAATCTGGATTCTTCTCCTTTTTGTATGCCTCTATCCTGTTGATAAAAATACCTATTATTACCATGTTTTACTCTCATCATTGTTATAAAATAAAAGTTAGCAAGGGATTCAGTATCTAAAGGATCTGCTACATTGTAGTCTTAAGGAAAGTTATCACGCGGCAATATCTCCCCGTGTGTCATACAGCTTTGTCATCACGGAGGTTGGAACAGGCCATACTGTTTTCTTTCAGTACTTTTTGGCAAAATAAAAAACAATTGTAAAACTATAAATAGTGGTCCAAAGGAGGTTGTGTGGAACAGCTCGCTCTCCTATGAGATATGCCTGGCCAAATCAGAGAGAGATGACACCAAGAGGAGAAACCAGATAAGAGGAGGAAAGAAACGAACAGCTAAAAACGGTGCAGGACGAGCGGTCGGAACCGGATGGAAGCATCAAGCCCAGAAATAGAGTAATACTAGAATTTAGTCACGAAAGGGACACAAGTAACCCATACCACAAATATAGGCAGAGACTGTTACAGCCTCGGCTAGCTAGCAGCAGACAAAGTGGTCGACCATTTTTTTTTCAAAAGGACTTGGACATACAGTTAAGTGTTGGAGTATATGCTCAGCACCTTCTAGTGCCAAGCTGCAAGGACACATACACAGTTGGAACATGCTGTCCAAGTCTGTTATTCCTTGTCCTCAGTCTGATTTTGACATTTCCCTCTCCTAGGGAGACAATGAAGCCTTAGGAAGAAAATTTGGTGTGGAACACCTTTCTTTAGTTACTCAATTTGGCTATCCTCCGAATAATGGGCAGGAAAGCTGGTGGCCGAAAAATATCCTTTTGAGCAGCGGTCACGTGTCAATTCTGTACTTCCAGCGATTACCGCCACATGTTCCCCACGCCGCCAACGCAGAGTGGACTCGGGCTAAACTATATGGCTAGGACCCACAAGCAGCAGCTTCTGCATCTCCTGCAGCTTTGCTCGTGAGTCCACGCTCTTGCGGCGTGGGGACTCGGGGCGGTGGCGGTAATTGCCGGAAAACCGCAAATTAAGTCACGTGCGGCTTGAATGGATATTTTGCGACCGCCATCTTTACCGCCCGTGATTCAGAGGATAGTTTGATTGCATCATGTCACTGCCGTTTCTTGTCAGTCTGCTTTATCACCGCCTTCCAAGCAATAGTGAGCTAAAAAAAAAAAAACTGCAGGACAGTTCTCCAGAAGAGCCTAAATAAATCAGCTGTTGCAAACTGTGTCTCTTTTGAACTGAAAAATAAATAAATATGTGATTAAACTGCCTCTTGGCTGGTGGGGCAAAGCTCCTATTACATCACCACAAGTTAAATGAGACGAACAGAAATCACAAAAGTAAACACGACATACTTCTTAAGTAGGTCCTTGAAATATGACATGAAATCTTTCTTTGAGGAAAAGCCAGTTTTCTGTAGCCTGTTGTCAAGAACGACATCTATGCCGGAGTAGCTGCTTTCATCTGCTCCTTCATCCTGCTGCTCTTCAGCGCTGGCATTGGCGCCAATTTTAGAATCGTCAAACTTTTCTGATCGGCAAACATACTAAAATGATAAAAAGGAAAAAGTTAATATTTTTTTGTATAAACATTGGGGGCGTGCTAGTACAGGGAAACAGCTGGCCCAAAGCCATTCCTCCAGTTTTTTTGGGTCACAATTTTAAGGTTTGCAGGCGGACAATGTTTTAATTTTAAACCAGAATATTTGGATGGAAGTAAAGATGGGTGGCGTAATGGTGATGACATCACCCATTGAGGGCTAAGTTTTGTGTCTTATACCACCCACTGAGTGCTGTATGATAGTGTTGTTTAGCCCTTACAACAGGTGCAATGGTAAGAGAAAAGATCCTTTACTCTGTAATTTAATTTGGAAAAAGATGGTAATAACCAGAGGGTATTTTGTATTCACTGATAATTGAGATTTGAACAAGATAGCATAGGTGCGGCTGACCCAGCTATAGTCAGGATGCCAACTGTCAGTTCTAGCACATAATTTCAAATGAGGCCAAGCTGCTGCAGAATCTACTGTTCAACCCCCATCACTGAACGGTCAACTCTCTGCACCACTGTTGAAACAATGCAAGACCATCGGCAGTTGGGATCGAACCCAGCACCCATGCATTGCGAAGCTCGTAAGCAACGCCTAAGTCAGACTTTCTATACACATGCATTATCAAAGACTCCAGAAAAGTCCAACTCACCCTGCCTTTAATCCTGAACAGGCCACCTACAAGTTCAAGTGGGTAGGTGTCCGTGAACATTTCATCACCTGTATAACAGACAACAAACAAAGCTGGTCAGCTGAGGCAACTAAATGATAAAAACACACAAGTAACAACTACTACTTTGGGGGTGTGAAGTGTTCAGTCTTTGCATATTCCAGGCGGTACAACTGTGTTTGCCCTTAACGGCAAAGGGAAGATGGTGCAACACTGTTCATTTACAGACAATAGCACAACACCTTTAAGCTTTAACACGTCCAACTTTAACAAATCCCTAGTCCAGCCTTTTACAACATGCACGTTGAGGGGCCGTAGGTAAATTTTCTGGCTATCCTCTAAACAAAAACGGTCCCAAATTATTGAGGTCGAAAATATTGATGGATAATAATGTCAACCACAGAGCACTTGTTAAGGTCCATTAACAGCTGATGTTATAGATTGCAGCAAGTGAATGTGACGGAGAGGCTTCTGTAACATGTCAACAAACACTACTGAAACAAGTGTTTTATTTCCCAGTCAATAGTGCAGTCTGATACAATTTCATTACAAAAATCTTCCAGCTTATATTTTGGGCGAGGTTTTTGATCTCTTAGCGGCAATGTTTTCTGGTCTAAAGGTCTTGGGTTCAAACCCAGTTGATTTTTGTTTCATCTGTTTGAACTACCTGGCTGGTCCCTCAAGTCTAAAATGTGCACCAGGCAGCATAGTCGAGAAATAAAGTAAGACTACCAGCATGGTGATTATGTTTACATCATCTATCCGAGCGCGGACTGGCCTACACAAAAATAGGGAATCCAACCTAGCATAATCAAGTGACCAATAATAATTTCAGCTCTCCTTTGAATCAACCCCCAAAATGGCGGCATGCCACATTCTGGCCATAAAATTTTCAAAAATATCCGAATGGTGGTGTTCGCGTATATCTAAAATACGGACTATCTGCCAAGTAACAAACCGCGGCAAAACTAGCATTACTTGACAATTAACCCTTTTAGCACGGGAAGTTTTTCAGAGGTCTAGCTAAAAACACGGAGCATTTTTTCAGTGAATTTGGTTATTACTTTATTTTTTTTGACAGATTTCTGTTATTCTGACCCCTATGAAATAATATATCTATTTGAAGGATATAGATTGAAGTTCGTGATTTTCACAATATCGTTAAAATTAATTGATGTATATGCAAATTATCTAACTTGCGTATCTAAAAATAGAAAATATGAATTTGAATTTTCAACTTCAATGCTTGAAACATAAAAATAAAAATTTTTTTTAATTTGAAATCTTTTTATTGATCTTTGGCCTTTTTACAAATGTAAGCAATTCAATAGTCAAAAACATGTATATATATATGTGAAACAGCAATAATATCTTTAGGTGACATGTGTTTTTCATCATCAGTCAGCACTATAAATGGATGTGCCGGAGTGTCAACACCGTCAGGTGGATATACCCTAAGCCATGGTTGGGCTGTGGTCTGAACACAACAGCGTCCCCATCTGATTCCCACTATAACTACTAACACTAAATCCTGCATCAGTATCAACAGAATTAGTGTCAACACTTGATTCAAATGTTTTATCAACATCAAGTTTAGGGGCAGAAACATACGAGTCAGCGGTTCAGGTCACTATCTAAAAAATTCAACAACAATTTTCACTTCGATACCAAACACTCGAAAGTCGCCATGAATAAAGCTGATACCGCAGTTAATATAAATGAATCACTTTCAGTGTTTCAAAGTAGGAGATTTCTTAGCGGTTCGAGGCGAAACACGATCGGGCCGATCATCGGCCGTTCCATGTTTTTGGCCAGACATCCGCCGGCCGTGCTAAGAGGGTTAATAACATTGCACACGGTAGTAGCAGACGATAAATACTGCCCGTTGACAATTTTGAGTGTTTCTCGACGATACTAGCGACCGTTGACCACTTTCGAGACATTACAGACGATGAAATCCGATTAGCAGTACTGTGTTCTTCCGATTGGAGGATTTAGCCGGTAGATGTCAGACTTGTTAGCATGCGCCAAACGCGATCAAACTCATCGCCGAGGGTATCCCCCACGCCGCAACACACAATGGAGGGCTAAACTAGGTGCCTGGGACTCACGAGTACAGTAATTGGAGAAAGTTGCAGGAGATGCGGTAGCTGCCGTTCGTTAGCCCCAGCCATCTAGTTTAGTCCCCATCCGCGCCGCGCGTAGCAGCGCTAGGGATAAGCTTGGCGGCTAGGCACACTCGCAGAAGCAGGTCGGCAAGTAACGTATCGCCGAGACCCTGTCGGAGCATTTGTTTCGTTATCCGGAGCCGACACATATTTTTAATAGAACTGACCCGCTTTCGGATATTTTTTGATATTTTATGGCAAGAAATTGGCGCTCTCTTTCGAACGCTATCATATTAAAGCCGCCATTTGATTCAAAGGAGAGCCATAATTTCTTCTTCTTCTTCTGCGTTTATCTGAAGATTTAATTGCCTTGTGTCCATTTACAGCATGGCTGTGATATTTGCATCCCACTTCTACTGGCATTTTTTGTTGACCGGGTTAGCCTTACCGATTAGTTTCTGGGGACATGGCAGTCTTGTGATAATATGACCATCGTGAAGGTTTTTACTACATGAAGCAAAGGTGTATCTTAAAATTCATGATATCGCAGACTAGTTGTAAACCCTAAAATAGCGAGCAAAAGGCACTTTTGAAGGACGAGTGCAGAAGAAAACATTCATCAACAAAGATGATAGAATTGAAAAGGGAGCACACATTGGCAAAGCAGAAATAAAACATTTACGTCGAAGTACGCCGATCAAAAGTTTACCCATTATTACTGACACATTCTTTTCAATTGTAGACAATGCCGGTAAATATGCTCCTTCTACAATGATTATGATTTGTGTAAAATTAGTAACATAACGCAGAATGGCTACGTGAACATAAATTGATCTAAAGTTTCTTTCAAAATTAACCATTTTAAATAAGTTATATTCGAGTATGTATAGAAATTTTTAACAATAAGTTTGTTAACCAAGTTTTACCTGTTTCGCAACATCTGTAAATCTTCATTATGGCTGATGTTTATGGATAGCTGGTCTCGAGTCTTTGATAAAGAAGGCTCAAGCCTCTAGCTAAAATGTGTAAAAGGAAACGGAAGTATGCTCTTGCAGCGAAGCACAAAATATTATTGACGTCATTTTCTGCGACTTACTTTTTCTTCGGCTCGAATAGAACAAGTTTTCATCATAAACTAGGAAAATAAAAACCCTTATTATATTTTATTATTTTCAAGTTTTACTCGGATAAATAAAAGTTAAGCAGTCCGGAAAAAGAATGTCCGAAGAAGTCGGTTATGTTGTTCTAGAGACGCAAATAGTGCAGTTATGTTGTAAATAGACACAACGCAATTACGTCATTTGAACGAGCCACGAAAATAATTTGAGTAAGAAAGAGAATTGTACAACAAATCAGTTCCTGTGTGGGACGAATTTTTCTTTATTTTGGAGCCCCATCCTGGTTGTTACCGGTTGCCCTTCTTCTTCTTCTTCTGCCTTTCTATCCCCCAATGGAGCATAGGCCCTCAACCAACTCACGCCAAGTCGTTCTATCCTTCGCCATTGCATGGAGCTCTTCCCATGTCCTCCCCATCTTTCTAACTTCATTCTCCAGCTCTCTTCTCCATGTGTTTTTCGACCTTCCTTTAGTCCTATGCCCCTGTGGGTTCCAATGCAAAGACACTCTAGTTATGCTGTTCTCTTTTTGTCTCAGTGTGTGTCCTATCCAACGCCAGCGTCTTTTCCTCACCTCTTGGTCCACTGGAGCATGTTTAGTTCTCTCCCAAAGTTCTACATGAGTTATTCTATCATACCATTTAATTCCCTCTATTCTGCGCAGGCACCAGTTAATGAATGTCTGTAATTTATTAGTAATTGTCTTAGTTGTTCTCCATGTTTCCGCCCCATACAATAGTACGGATTTGACATTAGAATTAAACAGTTTTATTTTAGTATTTCTTTTAAATTTTTTTTACCTCCACAAATTCCCTATTGCTATGAAAGCCTCTCTTGCCTTTTGTATCCTTACTTTAATAACTCTATCAGTTTCTCCATCTTTATCTACATTTCTGCCCAAATAGGTGTACGACTCTACGTCTTGGAGTGGGGTGCCATTAAGAGAAACCACACTAATATTTGCCTGATTTATTCTCATTATCTTTGTCTTTCCTTTATGGATTTTCAGACCAAGCTGCTGTGATCTCGCACCAAGCATATTTAATTTATCTTGCATCTGATTCCGTGAATGGAACAGAAGAGCAATATCATTAGCGAAGTCCAGATCATCAAGCTGTTTTGTAGGGGTCCACTGAATTCCATTCTTGGTGTTAGCAGTTGCTGTTTTCATAATCCAGTCTATCATCATCATGTAGTAGGTCCTTTACAGAACGTCGCTCTCATCACAGTCTGCCTGTAAGAAACTCGGTCTCTTGCCAGTTCTCCCGCCTCATAAACTTTCACACTCAAGGAGTCACATATCCTGTGTCGGTCGGCCCCTGCCCCTCCTTCCTGGTACCATACCTTCTGCTTTAATTTTTTCCAAACCGTCGTGGCGCTTGATATGACCAAAATATTTCAGCTTTCGAGAAAGGATGTTGTTTATTAGCCAATCTTCTTTGATGTTCAGATCTTTTAAGATGTCAATATTTCTCATCTTCTTTGTCCAAGATATTCTGAGAATCTTTCTATAGCATTTCAGCTCAAAAGCCCATATTTTCTTTCTTAAGGACTGAGAGACAGTCCACGACTCACATCCGTATGTAACCACAGGGAAGATGCATGCTCTCAAAATTCTAATTTTGATCTCCTTGCTGGTGCTTAACCAGAGACTTTTAATTAAGGCTGTTCAATCTTTGCATTGCTATGGCCATCCTCCTTTTAATTTCCGTCAACAGTCTCATTGTTGTTTATTATAGAGCCTAGATATTCAAAGTTTGTGACATTTTTAATTTCTTCAACATTTATTGTTATTTTTGGGTGACAGTCAGTTTTATCTGTGGACATTATTTTAGTTTTCTTTAAATTCAAGAACAGATTTTGATCTTCACCGTGCTTTTGGACGGACAATATTAAATTGTCTATTCCCTTTACGCTGTTCGAAAGGAGGACTGTGTCATCTGCGTGGCGGAGCTCCGGAATAGGGTTGCCACCAGTTTTGAGCGGATCATAACTGTCACAAGTCTGGTCATTTTTGACATTTCTCATTATATTTTCTGCGTATATATGGAATAGGTATGATGGGAGAATGCACCCCTGCCTCACCCCCTTTTGCACCTCGAACCAATCAGATGTTTCACCAGCTGCTTTGATGCCAGTAAAAATAAAAGAGGCGACAAAAGACATCCCTGTCGCACATCTGTTTTTATTTCGAATGCATCTGTTAGCTTTCCCTCATAAAGAACTCGACATTTCATGTCTCTATATGTTGCCTTTACTAAGTTTATAATTTTATGTGGGATTCCATAGTGCCCCATCAATTTCCAGAGAGATTCCCTATCAAAGCTGTCAAATGCTTTTTCATAGTCTATAAATTCAATGTACTGGTGGCCCTCATATAACCTAACGGTTGAACGGGGTTTCTAGGACCTCTCTATGAGTGATCCTCATCCGAATGGTGGTACTTTGTGTCACTTGGTATTTATCGCTCGGTGTGATATCCCACATTTATCGCTCGGTGTGGAGTTTAAAAGTCAGTCAGTGAAGAAAAAGAAAACTAAAGCAGGAGACGTATAGAAAACGGGACAACCAACATATATTTTAAGATGAAAAGGGGACATCCAGAGTAAGTTAACCCCCCAACCCCTTTCTCCCACTTTCTTCCTTGTGCTAGATCACCAAGATGGAAGACTTAATTACTGTCTCGAGAATGGTGTAAAACTTGAACTATAGTGGCCAAGTAAGAAAAGAAGTAAAATGTTCTTAACTTCTGTTTTCGAGTAGTACTTTGAGTTGAGTTATGACACATCCATAGGCGCTCAGATTCCCCTCTCAACATATTCATCAACGTCGTGCGGTTAACAGTACCCGTCCTATGTGTAGTACTGTATTGGCTTTCAACGTCAGGTTTTGAAATGGCACCGGTTGATGGCCTTGGTATCTTCTCCCTCGATGCTGGTATTTACAGCCTATTATATTCCCTCTAACCATTGCTCACGTAGTGGACCTCTGCTTCTGTTTCCATTACGACTAAGTGACAGGGCTCTGTGGGGGACTGTCTGGTGGTAGTGTTGAACACGTCCATACCATTAGCCATCGGACGTTGGGGTTCATACTGAGGGGAGAATCTGAGCACCAATGGACATGTCAGGAGTGCAATGATGATAACCAAACTAACTAACTAACTAACTAACTAACTAACTAACTAACTAACTAACTAACTAACTAACTAACTAACTAACTAACTAACTAACTAACTAACTAACTAACTAAAACTAACTAACTAACTAACTAACTAACTAACTAACTAACTAACTAATTATACTAAACTAACTAACTAACTAACTAACTATTTAACTAACTAACTAACTAACTAACTAACTAACTAACTAACTAACTAACTAACTAACTAACTAACTAACTAACTAACTAACTAACTAACTAACTAACTAACTAACTAACTAACTAACTAACTAACTAACTAACTAACTAACTAACTAAATAACTAACTAACTAACTAACTAACTAACTAACTAACTAACTAACTAACTAACTAACTAACTAACTAACTAACTAACTAACTAACTAACTAACTAACTAACTAACTAACTAACTAACTAACTAACGTCCATAACATTTCATATGTTGTCTCTTGCTGTAGGTTAAAACAGGTTCCGTCCTAGCTTCTTTTCTGATATGGTCATTCTTGATCCTATCTCTTCTAGTGACTGTCAGTTATCGAAGTAGACATTTCATCTGTATTGTTTAGATTTGGGGGAGGGTTCATTTGTTGGTAATGCCCACGTTTGACACTGATAAAACTAAAAACAATACTTGTTTTAAAAAAAAAAATCTATTGTATAGTGCTCTTTTGGAGTCAGTTGTTCCATGTTCGTTCTGCAAAATTGGTGGCCTTTGTAAAATGATTTAATTTGCTTATTTATGTTTATGTTGATTAGAAGGGAAGAGAGGAAGAGGAAGGCCAAGGAGAAGATGGGTGCAGGATGTGGCAGATGATCTCCAGATGGGTGTATCAGACGCAGGACATCTTGCTCAGGATAGGAAGGTTTTCCGGAGGGTTGTTATGGCAGCGAGGTTCCGCGAGGGACATGCTACTGAATGAATGAATGATTAGAAGGATCAACATCATGTAACACGGATGTAACCCATAAGTGCTCCATTCTACTTCTAACTCAAGCCTGAGTCTTAAGAATCCCAGAGCAGGGCACGAACGCGAGGATTACGAAATACTTTGGGTAGATTTTTAACTCCAGATTTTACCTGGGCAGCGCCGTTAGGCTACTCTTTTCGATTTCCAACTGCCGAGGGATTTTTTCACGTGCGCCACAGTACAAACGCGCGTCTAATCCTATAAACCCAGAAATTACCAGAAGTCCATGTGAAAAAAATCCCAGCCTTCACCGGGGTCTGAACACTCGACCCCCAGCACTCGAGTCGGACACAAGACCTCGAGACCACTCAGCCCCTGTGTTTAATTTCTTTATTACATCCGTGATCTTTCTTTGCTTCGATTCTTCTATTGGATAATATTATGCTCTCTAGATACTTGAAGCCTTTTGCTGCCCTGAGCTGTTGGTACTCAATGCATATCTTGATTGGTTCTTGATATTGCCCACACCAGTAGTCAAGGCTCAAGTTGTGTGAATCACGGGTTCAAACTGTGAATTAGGGGTTCAAACTGTGAATTAGGGGTTAAAACTGGAAACACGCGGATAGTCCACTCACCAGAGGCCAGGGCCCCAACATAGAAAGGTAGAAAGGTCAATATTACTTCTTCTTCGTGTTCATTAGCTGTTAACTCCGGCGGAAGGTTCTGGCTGTTCATTCACTTCTGGACAC